TTGGGCAGCGGTGCCAGACCCGTTGGGCAGCGGTGCCAGACCCGTTGGGCAGCGGTGCCAGACCCGTTGGGCAGCAGTACCAGACCCGTTGGGCAGCGGTGCTGGAGCTGTGGGGCAGCGGTGCTGGAGCTGTGGGGCAGCGGTGCCAGACCCGTTGGGCAGCGGTACCAGACCCGTTGGGCAGCGGTGCCAGACCCGTTGGGCAGCGGTGCCAGACCCGTTCTGACCCGGTTCCGGGTTGCTGCGCAGAGCGCTGCGGGACGTGCCGGTTCGGTGCCATCTGCGAGGCGGAGAGCGGGCGCTGCGTGTGCCCCACCGAGTGCGTGCCCTCGGCGCGGCCCGTCTGCGGCAGCGACGGCAACACCTACGGCAGCGAGTGCGAGCTGCACGTGCGGGCCTGCACCCGGCAGCAAAACATCCAGGTGGCAGCGCAGGGCCCCTGCGGTGAGTGTGCCGCTGTCCCGTGTGCCACTGTCCCCCGTGCCACTGTCCCCCGTGCCACTGTCCCGTGTGCCGCTGTCCCCCGTGTGCCACTGTCCCCCATGCCACTGTCCCCCGTGCCACTGTCCCCCGTGCCACTGTCCCCTGTGCCACTGTCCCCTGTGCCACTGTCCCGTGTGCCACTGTCCCCTGTGCCACTGTCCCCTGTGTGCCACTGTCCCGTGTGCCGCTGTCCCATGTGCCGCTGTCCCATGTGCCGCTGTCCCATGTGCCACTGTGCCATTGTCCCCCCTGTGCCGCTGTCCCCCGTGTGCCATTGTCCCTCGTGTGCCACTGTCCCGTGTGCCACTGTCCCGTGTGCCACTGTCCCGTGTGCCACTGTCCCCCATGTGCCATTGTTTCCTGTGTGCCACTGTGCCATTGTCCCTCGTGTGCCGCTGTCCCGTGTGCCACTGTCCCCTGTGTGCCATTGTCCCCCGTGTGCCATTGTCCCCCGTGTGCCGCTGTCCCCCGTGTGCAGCTGTCCCCTGTGTGCCATTGTCTCCCATGTGCCATTGTCCCCCGTGTGCCATTGTCCTGTGTGCCATTGTCCCCCATGTGCCTCGGGCCGTGCCACCCGCTCCCACTCCCACTCCTGCTGCTGCTCCTGGGGTTTGGTGGCTCTGTGTTCCTTCACTCGCACACCCTGCCCGAGCGGTTTTCCCTTTTACCCGGGGGAATTGGGTCTCTCCAGCCTCTCCAGCCGCTCGGGTTTGGTTTCCCCCTCGCTGGAAGAGCCCCCTCGTGTTATTTGTCTGAGCCAAGCAGAGAAATTGGATTAATGTCCACGGGGCCAAGGCAGGAATTAGGCTAAAAACGCGTTAACAGGCAGCAGCAGAAGCGAGAGCAGGGCTGTGTCTGATCCTCTCCCTCCCCTCCGTCCCCTGGGCTCCATTCCTCTTTGTTCCTGCTTTCCTCCCCACTCCCCAGCCCGCCTGGGCTCATTCCTTAATGAATCCAAAGCCCTGCTTAGGACAAGAGCTGCAGTGCTGATTGAGCCCCTCCAAACCTGTCCAGCTGGGGCTGAGATTCCCCCAGAGCTGGGGGGAGGACGGGTGAGCTGGAGGTGGCGGCTGCTCCCGGAGGAAACCATGAAATGGGATTTTTCTCCCTCTGGAAGGAGCCGCTGGGAATCCAAAGCGCTCAGGGTGGGCACCCAGGTTGCACGGATTAAATGAGGAATAGCACAGGGATAACAAATTCATTGACAACGCCAACGCCCCCGGCTCTGTGACGGAGCCCGGTGGCGCGGGCGCCCCTCGGCGCGGCTGACGTGTCCCCCCGTGTCCCCCCGTGTCCCCCGTGTCCCCCCCCGTGTCCCCCGTGTCCCCCGTGCCCCAGGCTCGTGTGGCAGCTCGCCGTGCTCCTTCGGCGGGCGCTGCGAGGGCGGGCGGTGCCTGTGCCCGCGCTGCGAGCGCCAGCCCCCGGCCCCGGTCTGCGGCTCCGACGGCCTCACCTACCCCAGCCCCTGCCAGCTGCGCGCGGCCTCCTGCCAGCTGCAGAAGAGCATCCAGGTGGCCAGGACGGGGCCCTGCGAGGACGGTAGGTTGGTCCTGCTTCTGCAGGGCGTGGGCAAAGGGAGCGGGCAGCCAGGGCAGCTTCCCTTGCTGTGCCCTGTGAGACCCCAGAAACCCAACAGAGCAGTGGGTGCTGTGCCAGCCACGCTTCTCTGTGCCCTGTGAGACCCCAAAATCCCCATAGAACAGCGGGTCCTGTGCCAGCCACGCTTCTCTGTGCCCTGTGAGACCCCAGAAACCCAACAGACCATCAGGACCTGTGCCAGCCATGCTTCTCTGTGCCCTGTGAGACCCCAAAATCCCCCAGAGCAGCGGGTGCTGTGCCAGCCACGCCTCCCCTGTGCCCTGTGAGACCCCAAAATCCCCATAGAACAGTGGGTGCTGTGCCAGCCACAATTCTCTGTGCCCTGTGAGACCCCAGAAATCCAGCAGACCATCAGGACCTGTGCCAGCCATGCTTCTCTGCTGCCCCTCTGTGCCCTGTGAGACCCCAGAAACCCAACAGACCATCAGGACCTGTGCCAGCCACGCCTCTCCTGTGCCCTGTGAGACCCCAAAACCCCCAGAGCAGCGGGTCCTGTGCCAGCCACACCTCTCCTGTGCCCTGTGAGACCCCAAAACCCCCNGTGCCCTGTGAGACCCCAAAACCCCCAGAGCAGCGGGTCCTGTGCCAGCCACACCTCTCCTGTGCCCTGTGAGACCCCAAAACCCCCAGAGCAGCAGGTCCTGTGCCAGCCACGCTTCCCTCACTGCCCCTCCATGCCCCAAAGCACCCCCAGCCCCCCCAGTCCTGTGCCAGCCCCCTTAAACTCCAACCCCCATTCCTCTACCCCAGTTTTTTCCAGTTCTAGCCAAACTACTTTGGGCACCTCCAGAGATCTGGGCACCCTGTCCCAGGACCTCCCCACCCTCACAGGGAGGAATTTTTTCCCCATATCCCACCTAAACTTCCCAGTTTCTTAGTTTGAAGCCATTCTCTCTTGTCTTGTGTCTGCATCCAATATAAATTTTCCCTTTTTTCCCCATATCTCACCTAAATTTCTCGGTTTTCAGTTTGAAGCCAATCCCCCTTGTTCTGTGTCTGCATCCTGTGGTAAATTTTCCCTATTTCCCACCTAAATTCATTGATTTGCAGTCTGAAGCCAGTCCCCCATGTCCCATCTCTGCATCCAGTGTGAATGTTCCCTTTTTTCCCTATTTCCCACCTAAATTCATTGATTTGCAGTCTGAAGCCCACCCCCCATGTCCCGTCTCTTCATCCAGTGTAAATTTTCCCTCCCCAGTGCCACTCCTGCCCCTGGCAGGGATTTGGGACTGGAGGATTTTTAGGTTCCCTTCCAACCCAGCCCATCCCACGGCTCTGTTGCCTCAGCAGAGCTCCAGGGAAGGTTTTGGGGTCGGTTCTACCTTTTTTGGTGAGCCTAAAAATAAAGAAGCCGCCGAGTTTTCCCTCTCAGGGGAAGCTGAGGGTTCTGCTGGCGCAGGGAGGGAGCTGAGCTTGCCTGGCACACGGGGGGAGGATGTCAGAGAGGGAAAAGCAGAGCAGGGTGTTTGATCCCAGCCCTGCTCGGGGGTTTCAGGTTGCTGTCCCTCCTCCTGAATAATTCTGTGTGTGATGCCAGAGCCCAGCCTTTGATCTCCATGAAAAGGGCCAGGTCCCCTTCCCCCAGCCCTTGTCCCCTTCCAGCAGCCTTTGAAATCAGCCATGGCTCTGCTGCTGCTGCTGCAGCTCATCCTGCCCCGCTCCAGGGCGTTCAGTGCTCTCCCAGCCTCAGATCCCAGCTCCAGATCCAGATCCCAGCCCCAGATCCCAGCTCCAGCCCCAGATCCCAGCTCCAGATCCAGATCCCAGCCCCAGATCCCAGCCCCAGATCCCAAATCCCAGCCCCAGCCCCAGATTCCAGCCCCAGATTCCAGCCCCAGATCCCAGCCCCAGATCCCAGCCCCAGATCCAGATCCCAGCCCCAGATTGGATTGGATTGGGTTGGATTGGGTTGGATTGGGTTGGGTTGGATTGGATTGGGTTGGGTTGGATTGGGTTGGGTTGGATTGGGTTGGATTGGATTGGGTTGGATTGGATTGGGTTGGGCTGGGTTGGATTGGGTTGGATTGGATTGGGTTGGATTGGGATGGGTTGGATTGGATTGGATTGGATTGGATTGGATTGGATTGGATTGGATTGGGTTGGATTGGATTGGGTTGGGATGGGTTGGATTGGATTGGCCACCAGGCTCAATCAATCCTCACCAGAACCCAACCCAGCATCACCCCAGGGAAACAATTCTCCACACACATTGCACATGGGAAAACAAGGAGCAGGAATAGGAATTGTTTTCTCCTCTCTGTGCTCCTCTGTGAAAAATCCCGAGAGGGAGCAGGATGTCCGCGTGGCAGGAAGGCGAGACAGGCGATGGTTTCCGCTCCTCCCGGACCTTTCCCGGGCCCAGCCTGGCAGGAATCTTTCCCTCTCCCTGTGGCTGAACGAACATGCCCGGCGCGTTTCCCTGTCCCCAGAGTGCGGCTCGGGGGGCTCGGGCTCGGGGGACGGCGGCGACTGCGAGCAGGAGCGGTGCCGGCGCTTCGGGGGCTGGTGGGACGAGGACGCCGAGGACGAGCCCTGCGTCTGCGACTTCAGCTGCGCGGCCGCGCCCCGCGCCCCGGTGAGCCCGTGCTGCCGTGGTGTCCCCTCCTGAGCTGTCCTGAGCTGTCCCTGAGGTGTCCTGAGGTGTCCTGAGCTGTCCTGAGCTGTCCCTGAGCTGTCCTGAGGTGTCCCTGAGGTGTCCCTGAGCCCGTGCTGCCGTGGTGTCCCCTCCTGAGCTGTCC